GCTTTACTCAAATTTTCGTGACGAACGACCCAACCGTCTTTCGGAAATCCTGGTGCATCCCCTTCACTTCCATCCCATCCACCTGCCATCATCGCAATAGCATACAAGAGCCCACCCGAGCCAGGGAAATACGGCGTAGGTACACGCGAACCACCACCTGGCATCCCAACATCGTCGAATGTGAAAATGGAGTTTAACAGCCATTCAATGGCCTCCTCGCCGTCCCCACTACGTGCCGACGACATTGCAAGCATCGAGAAATCCCATCTGTAAACCCTTCAGTTACCAAACAAAAATGAATGTGGACCGAGCATACCCCCAGCAGTTCGTGATATTCCAATCCTCTCGCACCATCTCAGCCGTCGCTTTCGCAATCGTCAGGTTGAGTCCCTCTGTCTGCGGAAGCCATCCATATAGTCCCACTAGCGCGGGATGATCATTGGTATACATCGCATCCGTCCAAAAGTCGTTTTCAATTGTTTCGTACACCTTGTACGTGCCGTTGTTGACTGGCAGCGGTGCCAGATCGCCTTTGACTACCGTCCAATTCGTTGGGACCTCTTCGCCGAGTTTCTCCATCCATCCTTCGGCATATCCCAATCCCAAACGCCAATACGCCAATTCGAATGCAGGATTAACAGTCACGTTGGGACTGGTATCTTCGCTGACGACGTACATGGGTGGCCCAAGGTCATAGACGCCTGTGGACTCGTTGTACCATGCAAAATCTGCCATCCAGTTGGCTGTTTCCCGAACCACATCCTCCCACTTGCGCAGCGTCACCATCGTTGGTGATGCCCGGTACTCATACTGCGCAAACACGAGGGGGTGCGGCTGCTGCCAGATTAGCAGATTGTTTATCTCGCCTGGGGATGAGCGGCCTGAAGGGTCGGTCATTTTTGGCCACCGTGCACCGGAGGGCCAGTGTTGCTGTTCCTGGGACCTGTATATCGAGGATGGCAAGAATTTTGCGTAGGTATCGGTAGATCGGTTGAGCAGCTCCCAGTTGTTCCAGAGGGCCCAGTGCGCCGAGTGCCAAAAGTACATCTCCATGTGGAACTTGCTATAATATCCGAGTTGTGAGTTGAAAGTGTTGTATACTTCATTTGTCTTGAAGATGCTTACCCATACTGTAAAAGGTTTGTAAGTACTTTCTTTTAGGATGGTGCGAAGCCACTCACCCAGCCATTATTCACTAGTCCGGACTGTAAAGATCTATGAGTATCGACTACCGTATATACAGTCCGAAATTAACTTACCTCCTGGGGCGGCGTGTCTCCCGCCTCATTGACCCGCATCAAATATCGCGACAGAATAATCCTCCTTTGCAACTCGTCTGCTCTCAGATCCGAAGACTCTGTATACACGTCGACGAAACCGCTCTGAGACCAAAAGGTGTCCCATGCTTTTTGCGATGAAGTGACTGTGGCCTCGTAACTTGTCTTGTCGGTCGGGGTTGCGATACCAGGTCCATAGGTGATTGCCATTCGGAAGGTCGACGAAGAATCGCTGGGTAGGATGGTGTAACGATGAGCGTCGGGAGAATCACGGGATATAGTGAAAGCATCGCCATCGAAGTAAGTGATGAACGACGCTGCGACGAGCGTGTGGTTAATCTCTGCGATGTGCCTATTGACGTTAGTACTGAGCGAAGTCGTGTGGTTGGCAGGAAGGTCCCAGTTTCCGACGAAGGGTGCGCTGAAGTATGCTGAACCATCGTTCCATGGGTAATCCACGAATACACCCAACTGGCCGTCGCTCAGCAGCGCGGATTCGATGCTGATTCCAACGGTGTCCCGATCCTGTGCACACGTCGTTGTCACAGTAACTGGCACCCCTTCGAATGAGAATTCGCTTGTGATTGTTCCTGTCCAAAGGTCGAGTTCCTGGTGAATATCTGTCAAGTAACTTTCCGTCATGTTGAGTACCTCTCCTTCAACCGACCGAAACGCCAACCCCACCCGTCCTATATTAACACGGTTCGGATTCGAGGTGAGCCATTGCTCAATCAATTCGTCACCCCCAAAATCATACTCGACAAGTAGATCGTGATTATACCAACTTACGCCGTGATAGTCATCCAAATCTTCCATCGTCTTACCCTGGGGCAAAGAATCATTTTTCCACCCCCACGAAGACATGATGGCGAAAGGCTGGAAAGTTTGGAGACCTGTGACATCGGCGCCGAAAGCAAAGTTTCCATTGCCTACTTGCATCGGCGTGGTGAGGCTGGATGCATTGCGGGTGGGATTGTACCGTGATACTAGTGCGTGTCGCTGGATTTCTGCCAG